ACGCCCGCGACGACGCGCGCGTCTGCACTTCGTCCCGTCTTTTGCAGGGGATTCTCGCGACGGCACACGCGCAAGAGCGTTCGACAGATTTCGACATGCGCGCGCGCGAAGCCCGTTTGGTAGCATTTTGTGAAAAACTTGGAAAACCTATGGTTTTCTTAAGATTTCACAAGAGCTCGCGCGTAAGTTTGTTTTTTCTTCTTTTTTGTTGAATCAGTGTTGCGATACCATTTGTTTTTATATGTTTTTTGGAAATTCAATTTTGAAATCTCTCCGGAACCGAAGGTTTTTTAAGGATTTCGGCATGCGCGCGCCACGACGCGCGCGTGCGCACTTCGTCTCATTTTTTCCAAGGGATTCGTGAAAAAAAGGTGATATGTTAGAACAAAACATGTCACCGCATAGTGTTTTTTACAAGGGAACCGCAGGGGGGGAACCCGGCTTGGCTGGGATGGTATGAATTCAAATTTAGGATGGACATGTGGTCAGAATCATATACAATTTACAGCACGCGCGGGGGGCCCGATAAGTCCGGGGGGGGGGGAGAATCTATTAGTCTTTTAGAAAGGAGAATCCACATCGGGCAGCGAATGCGGGGAAACCTGACCGGACAAGAACGGGAAGCGTCGCTTTTGCCCACTAGGTGTGCGAAATGTGCTCTGTTGTGTTGGTCTGCCCCGCAGGTCTGTCGTGGCGTGCGTGCGTTTGCGCTTGCGCGTGCGCGTGCGTGGAGTATGTGCATGTGCGTCCGTGCGAGGTGGTCCGCAGCAATGCTCTTTTATGCCGTGCTGGTCTACCGTGCTCCTGCGGTCAGCGTGAACGTATGTTGCCTGTGCGTGTGTGTGTGTGTGAGAGAGAGCGAAAGTGAGCGTGTGCGTGTGTGTGCGTGTGCCTGTGGGCGTGTGCCTGTGTGTGCGGCTGTGTGCAGCTCTGTGCATGTGTGCGAGCGTGTGTGCAGGGTGTGTGCTGGGCGGGCGAGACGGGGCGGGGCGCGACATGGCCGTTCGAATCGTAGCGGCGTGGTCGTTTGATCCGGGCGTGGCGGGCTGAACCGAGGTGTGGCCGTTTGAACCGAGCCTCGCCACACGTCGCGGCCGTTTGAACCAGGGCGCGAGGCATGATTGTTCGAATTGTAATGGCCTGGCGATCGACGGCCTTGAACCGAGACGAGGCGTGAACGCATCTTGCCGCCTCTGTGTGCTCTCGACGGGAGACCACACAGAGGCAAGGTAACAGGAGCACAGGAGCACAGCAGGCCGCAGCAGCACGGCGGCCTGGAGGGCCCTGGGGTGTAGCCCAAGATGGCCTGCCCCTGTTTTTAATTGTTGTTTTTTCTCTCTCCCTCTCTATCTCTCTATGTCTCTCTCTTTCTCTGGCTTTAAGCCCCGAAAGCTTCAGCTTCAGCACGGCAGACCAGAACAGCAGACCCGCACGGCAGACCAGCACAACACACCGACACGGCAGACGAGCACGGCAGTCCGGCACGGCAGACCAGCACGGCAGACCAGCACGGCAGCCCATAGGAACATAGCAGACCAGATCATGTCATTGACGCTGCTGTTGTTGGTGATGATCATGTTGCTGCTGATGGTGATGGTGATGCGTACGATGATGATAATGATGATGATGAGGAGGAGGAGGATGATGATGATGAGTATGAGTATGAGTATGGATGATGATGATGGATGATGATGATGATGATGATGATGATGATGATGAGGATGATGATGATGGACTTCTCGGGGTGTGCTTGGGAGATGTTGGGGTCCTCTGGAGAGCCTTTGGACTAGCAGTTTAAATCTGCGTAGCCGTTGTAACCCGACTCTCGTTTTCTTCATCGGTCTGACCGGTTTATCAGCTTACACGGCACAGCGCAGCAACACGACAGACGGCAGCAGCACGGCAGACCAGGAAGGCAGACCACAGGAGCACGGCAGACCAGAACGGCAGACCAGAACGGCAGACCGCAGGAGCACGGCAGAGCAGCACAGCTGACCACAGGAGAACGGCAGACCAGCACAGCGTTGTTGCAGCAGACGGTGCTGATACACTCTTAATTTATTGAACACGTCCCCAGCGAAATCGTCATGGTCGGCCGTATTGAGGGCACTCTGCGGGTCATCTTTGGGCCGATTTTGTTTTTGGGGGGCCGTACTGATGCCCTCAAAAACGATTCCAAGACGACGTTAGACTCATTGTTTGTTTGATGATTGTTCGGCCGTCTTGAGGGCACTCTTAGGGCATAGTCTGCCGTGCTCCTCGTCTTGGTCTGCCGTGCTCCTCGTCTTGGTCATCCTTTCCGTCGTCTTGAGGGCGCTCTTGGTGCCTGGTCTGCCGTGCTCCTCGTCTTGGTCTGCCGTGCTCCTCTCGGTTTCAAGATGATGTTGCGAACATCTTACTTTTGTGAGGATGTCTCGAGCGAAATGCTCATTTCTGAAATCCGCCAACGAAAAATCCCGTGCAGCGCGGCAACCCATATAGTTAAAGAAAAGATATATTTACTCAAGGATTCAGCCAGAACGTCCCGCTTGCTTCTCGTACCTCGAAGACGCTTCCCGTCATCCGCCGACCCTGTCGGCGTGTGTAAGTGGCTTCTCCGTTCGACTCGTCATCTCCGTCGTCTGCGCTCTCCCCCTCCCAGGGCTCTCCTCCTCAAGCGCGCTATCCAAAGCGAAATTAAACGACGTCGTAGTAGAATTGAAAGGAAGCCTCTTCCCTTTGATCCCTTCCCCGCAGGGGGGGGGGAGGGGGGGGGGCGGGGCAGATACAACGCCCGCCGGGGCGCACTTTCCTCGAGCGGGCACGCACGGGATGCACTTCCTCCTCCTCCTGGTCCTCCTCCTCCTCCTTTTCCTCCTCCTCCTCCTCTTCCTCCTCCTGCTCCTCTCCTCCTTCTCCTCCTCCTCCTCCTCCTCCTCCCGCAGAGGCGTCCCGGGAGCGGGCCCCGAGTCAAAATACCACCCCCCTAGGGCGCATTTTCCTCGAGCGGGCACGCCCGACATGCACTTCTTCCTCTTCCGGGAGCACGTCCCAACTCAGAAAATCACACTCCTGGGGCGCACTTTCTTCGAGCGGGCACACAAAGGATGCACTTCCCCCTCCTCCTCCTCCTCCGCCTCCTCCTCCTCCTCCTCCTTATCATCACCATCCTCCCCCTCCTCCTCCTCCTCCTCCTCCTCCTCCTCGTCCTCCTCCTCGTCCTCCTCCTCCTCCTCCTCCCCCTTTCTCCTCCTCCTCCTCCTCCTCCTCCTCCTCCTCCTCCTCCTCCTCCGTTTCCTCCCCCCACTCCTAGCCCTTTCGATCAGGGTCGGCGGCACCGGCCGCCAGGCCTCTCCAATAGATGTAGTGCAATCTATGTGGGGCACTTGATTGTTACACGAATTGAGAACTCCAGTGCTCACGCAACCATCCCACCCAATTACCCGCAAATTGTTTTGCATAAGCCCATGCGGCGGCGATTGCATGCTTGCGGTCGCGCTAGCCCTCGCATGCTCACGCGCACAACGCGGCTGCGGTGGCGCTGACCGCCAGGCACTTCCCAGCGGGCAGTTCAGTGCGAATCGGCGACTTGGGCGGGCGCGGTATCATGGCAACGTCGGCAACGGTAGACGCGAGGATGATAGTAGCGATGTTGGCCACGATGGTGACAACGACGACGGCAACGCCTGTGACGGCGCCGATGCTGATCAAGCCGCCGACGATGACGGCGTCTTCGGATCGGTGACGAAGGTTTTGGGAAGAGTTCGACATGCGCGCGCCGTCGACGCGCGATAACGGCCCGCATGATATTTGACACAAATCGTGTCCCCCCAACACGCGCGCAAGGGCGTTCGAATGATTTCGACATGCGGCGCGAGATGCCCGCTTGGCAGAATGAATCGCGCATGTTGGGAACTTCTGGTGTTTCTTACAAGTTTACGAAAGCGCGAACGCAAGCTTTTCTGAAACGCCGCCCTGCAAAACCATATTATTGTGTCTCGATGTTATCGGGGCACTCGATCTTGCAATCCTTACAGAATCTATGGGATCTCGACGAAAAAAAAGGTGTGCGCGCACAGCGACGCGCGCGTGTACATTTCGGCTCGTCTGTTGCAAGGGAACTCGCGCGCAAAGGCGTTCGAATGATTCCGACATGTGCGCGCGAGTGGCCCGTTTGGTAGCAATTTGAGAAGCGGTTGAACACCTATGATTGCTGGGTAATTCGCAAGCGCGCAAGCTTGCTTTGAAAATCGTGTGGCGAAGTCATGTGTGTTTGTATGTTTTTCCGGAAACTCGATTGTGAAGTCCTGGCGGGAAAAAAACTCGATTTTTGTTTCAAAAAAAATGTGGTCATGCGCGCGCGACGACGCGGGCGTGTCCACTTCGTCCCAATGTTGCAAGGGTTCTGGACAAATTATGAGGTTTGATGAACGAGTGTGGGCGCGCATTCGTTGTTCTAGAGGATGAAGGGGTGTACCGAAACCAATATGCCTAGGATTGCGTGACCTCATTTAGGATGGACAATGGGGCACAATTCAATTCGAAAGAAAATACCATGAAGTCTGGGCGGGGATATCCGTTTTTAATTAGAAAACAGATTATCTATGCGAAGAAGCGACCGGGCGGCGACGACGACTACGACAGGGCGGCGACGGCGAGCACGGAGCCGCCAGACCGCCACCCAAGCCCAGACGACGGGCGGCGACGAGAAGGCGACGGGGTGATGACGGCGAGAACGGTGCCGCCAGACCGACACCCAAGCCCAGACGACGGGCGGCGGCGAGGCGGCGACGGCGAGCACGGAGCCGCCAGACCGACAGCCAGGCCCAGACGACGGGCGACGACGAGGCGGCGACGGCGAGCACGGAACCGCCAGGCCGTTACCACCCATGCCCAGCCCCTTCGAAAAAGAATGAGGAGCCCTAAGTGCAAGCTCTGTCTGGTGAATCTCTCGCCGTAACGTTTTCCGCGCCGCGAGCATGTCGGGAGGCGGCGTGCCGGGAGGCGGCGGGCCAGGCGGCCTGGGGGCCGTCCATGTACAGCCAGCCGCTGATGTCGTCGGAAAGCTGCACGCACGCCTCGCGCGCAGGCGGGCTGCTACCAGGCGGCGGGAGGACCCTCCTGCTCGATCCTCGCGAGCTCGAGGCTCGAGCTCGGGGGCCCTGACTTCGACCCTGGGGGGCGTGACAGCACAATCGCCACGAAAAGGCTTCGGCCGTTGCTAGGGAGGTCTCCCAGATGGGGCCTGAGCAGATGGGGTCGGAGGATCGCGCCGCATCGCCAATGCATCGCCGATGCATCGGCGATGCGTCGGCGCCGTCGGCGTGGAGAAGATCGGGCTCCACATCCAGCCGCATAGCCGATGCATCGGCGATGCGGCGCGATCCTCCGACCCCACCTGCTCGGACCCCATCTGGGAGGCGTAGCAGTTTCGGCATCTGGGGGCCCTCGCCATGCCCCCGGGACTCTCAAAAGACGGCGCGGGGTGAAAGGCCGGCCCTAGGGCCCTTGGGTCAGTTCGGGCATGTCCGCCTGCAGGCGGATGTGGGGCGAAAAATCAAAAATAGTCCAAACATCTTAGAAACTAGTCTAACATTGCAAAAGCAAAACAATGTTCCCTGTATTCTGTTTTGACTAATTATGTTTGAGGGTTCCTCGTGTAGAGGGACCTGCCCGACCCAAGCCTGGGCTCCAGGCAGATGTCCAGGCGAGCAGGCCACCGGCGGCGGGAAGAGAACGAGAGCGGCCGCGCAGGGCCGCAACCGGGGGGCAGGGCTCGCCAGGGGGGGGGAGGAGCTGGGGTGGGAGCCGAGGTGTCGAGCCGTAGGTCGGGCATGTCCCCCGACAGGGGGATTATGGACGAACAAAGAAAAATAGTCACAAAATGAACAAAAAATGCTAAACAAATAATCAACAGATAGTCCCCCGACTATTTGTTGACTATTTGAGTATTTCCCCTGTAGAGGGACAGGCCCGACTCAAATCGAGATGGGGTCGGAGCAGGTGGGGCCAGAGGATCGCGCCGCATCATCGCCGATGCAGCGGCGATGCATCGCCGACGTCGGCGACGCATCGGCGACGCCGACTTTGAGAAGATCGGGCTCTGCATCGAGCCGCATCGTCGATGCATCGGCGATGCGGCGCGATCCTGCGACCCCATCTGCTCCGACCCCATCTGGGAGGCCTGGAAGAGGGGGGCCTAAAATCCGGGCGACCCGTCGTCGAGGATCGAGGGGCGTGTTCTTGGCGCCGGGCGGCCCCCAGGAGCCTTCAGGAGCCTCTGGAGACCTTCAGCAAGCTCCAGGGGTCCTCGTCGCGGGCGTCGGCGTCGGCGTCGGCGTGAGCGTCGTCGTCGGCGTCGCCGGGCTCCTCGTCGGTGCGGTCAGCGTCGGCGTCGTCGGCCTCGCTGGCGCCTCAACGTCGGCGTCGTGGACGGCAGCATTGGCGCCACCGTCGTCGGCCTGAGCTCCTCCTCCTCCTCCTCCTCCTCCTCCTCCTCCTCCTCCTCCTCCTCCTCCTTCGGCGCTTCACTGCCCTCGGTGTCCTGGACTCTCGGGGCCCCCACGGGCTGGCAAGGGGGGCCCCGGGGGCCTGTGTGCCGCAGGCGGCCGTGCCTCCCTGGCACGGGGATGCTGGGCCTCGGCGCGTGCCCGCAGAGCGGTGGGGCCGAGGGCCTGTGTGCAGCAGGGTCGGCCGTGCCTCCCTGGCACGGGCGCGGGGCCTCAGCGAGTGCCCGCAGAGCGTGACCTTTGTTTGGGGAACAAAAAGTGACATAAACATACAAACTCGGAGGTCCGCGATTTCTCGGATCGGCGCTGGACCCCCCTCCCTGGCGCGCTCCGCGCGCCAGGGGAGGCGCCAGAGGCGCCGCCGGGGGGCCCCAGCGCCGATCCGAGAAATCCGCGCGGACCTCCGAGTTGTTATGCTTATGCCACTTTTTGTTCCCCTATCTGTGAGCCGCCAGATCTCGGGGGTGCGGGAGGGGGCCTGCTACTCTTAGGTCGGGCATGCCCCCCCCCCCCACAGGCGGATTTGGGATGAAACATAAAACAATATTATAAAAGCATGAAGCATCTGCGAACATGTAGTTAAAACATCGTTCCCAGACTATGTATGGACTATGTTCGTCGATCCCTCCCGTAGAGGGACGGGCCCGACTTAATGCTACTCCAGGCGCAAGGCAAGCCCTTGGCCAAAGCCCCGTTACAGTGCGGGAAGATGGCGAGCTGCTGGGCTCTGCCGGAGACCATGACCGGGAGGGCGCTCGAGCCTCAAAAGGGCGGGGGCCTGAGGCAGTCTCTGGAGGTCCCTGGTGGCCTTCGGAAGCCTCCGAGATCCTCAACATGTCAAAACGGAACAAAACGCTCATCCTTCTCCTCCTAGGGTCCCAAGGGGGAGGGGTGGCGACGCAACGCGGCCAACGCGCGCGGGCGCGGCCGTCTGAAGTGCGCATCTGCTGGGCCGTTGGCCCATTTTATACGGCAGATTTAAGAAGGGGGGGCGAAAAGAGGAAGGGGAGGA